TTTTTTCACAATGCAGAATAACCCGCTGAAGGCAACTCCCTATCAAAGTGATGCCACCAACACAGATCTGATTGTATGACTCCAGCACTTAAAAGAGCACATTGGTTATACATGGCTTTTAACCTTGGGCTACAATTATGCTACCAGAACTACATTCAAGTCTAAATCAGTCATGTAGAGACGTGTGTGTTGTCCGAACACTGTTTAGAGTCCTTGTTTTCCAGATCTGATGAAGGTGGTGAAGGCGCTCTGTGGTTCTTGTGCTTACATTCAGGGCGGGATGAACTTGGCAAATACCAGGTTCTCCAATTAACGACAAACCACAGATCCCAAAGTAGGCATGTAAAGCATCTGAAAGAAGGAAAGGAAAGGGAAAAGAAAATTAGATCAGGCTGTAACAGCCAAGTGTTCCTGGATTAACACCTCTGAATAATTACAGCCAAGGAAAACAAACAAACAGGTGCTACATTTTAAACTTGAGTTTTGACAAAAGAAATTGATTTCTACCCAAAGCCACCAGCATGCACTGATAGTCTGCAATCTCTAAAACTACGAGTCCAGTTTTCTTGAGTGCTCAGGCCAAACAGCAAGAGAATTTGAGCATCTGGAGATAATTTCTGTCCACAAAGCCAATTTTTTTTTCCCCGAACATGAATGTTTTTTTGCCGATTATTTGATGAACAGCTGACTACTGAAATACCAAAATTAGTGGCAATAGCTGCCAAACAGTAAGATTTAGAAGTATGAAAAGGATTCATACTCAGAGGAGTCTCTCAAATTCCTGGGAGAATACACTAAGGGTAAGAATTCATGCGGTGGCTTGATCAGTCATAACAGATGACTGCCACAAAAAAGGGATGCTCCTATTCCTCTGTCCCACGCTGCTCCTGCTGCCTACCACCTTACGCCAGCTTGCCTACCTTACAGCTCGCTGAACACCCTCCATGACGTAAAGCAATTGAAAAAAGATGGAAGAAAATTAACCCAAGCAGGAGAAAATGGACAGTTTTCTGACATTTTAGTGAATTAAACTGGTCTGCAGGTTTTGATATACACCAAAGCTAATGCAAAAAGGAGAAAGGACGTACAGCCGTACTTGGGAAAGCTGGGAGGAAGAGAAGTGAGCGTGCCTCCTCTGGGCAGCAGAAAGCCACTAGATTGGATTATCTGCCCATGAAATCACAGGCTAAAGATGGAAAGAGGATGTGAACTTAAATGTGCCCCTTACAAATTCTCAACACTTAGTAATCTTTTGGAGGTGTCAGTAAATTCATATCTGACTAAAATGATATTACAAGAAGGTATCTGGATAGAGAGGCTCTGAAAAAAGGCTTCTGCTTATCAGCATGAACATGCAGACAAAAGCATGCTCAGCAGATACAGCCCCTACTGACCTTGCAGAAAGGACATCAGACAAGGACACCTCAACTTCAGGACATAAGAGTATATTAACCCCTGTGGACAGCTGCACTGATATGCACTAAAAACAATATACAAACCTAACTACCTGTATATGGCTATTTGCTGGGTTTAACCACAAAGTTCAGCAGTTGTGCAAATCCCTGCTAACTTAATACTCAAGTTAGTTCTAGCCAAAACACATACATGTAGCCTGTGTACTCCTGTTTCAAGCTATGAAATACACCAGGTTTTCAAGGTCAAAAAACATAGGTCCAAACGTTTTGTTTCCTAAGTGACTCACAAATACAGAATGCAGCATGCAACCTCACAACTGCTGGCTGCTGCCTTAAAAACAATAACAAAGTAAGGTGTACTTACACTTCTATGAGAGCAAATGCCACTTCAGTGTTTTACATGTAGTAGTTGCGCACACTCATTTTCACCCTCTCACTCTTTTATGTTAAACCTTTCGATCTGTACGTACTTCCAATTCTTTTATATTGTGTATAATTTAAAGGTAACAAACGAGATACATCAGAGTTGCGGCACGACCTCCTGGGGCATGCAGCAGTACATCTAGTAATTTCAAATAAAAGTTTATTTGTATCTAGTCATGACTTATGCACAAGTCTGAAAAAAACCCAAATGGCTTAGGTACGTGTTGTAGCGAAATGCTGTGGATTAACCCTGGTAGGCAGCTAAGCACCACGCAGCTGTTCCCTCACTTCCCCCCTCCACCCCCAGTGGGAGAAGAGGAAAGGAAGAGTAGAAGTGAGAAAACCTGTAGGCCGAGATAATGACAGCTTACGGGGAAAGCAAAAGCCATGAGTGCAAGCAAAACAAAGCAAGGAATTCGTTCACTATGTCCCATCGGCAGGCAGGTGCTCAGCTGCTTCCCAGAAAGCAGGGCTTCATCACCTCTAAGAGTTACTGGGGAAGACAAACACTGTAACTCCAAACGCCCCCCCCCTTCCTCCTCCTCCCAGCTTCTACTGCTGAGCAAATGCCGTGTGGTATGGGGTAGCCCTGTGGTCAGCGGGGTTCAGCTGTCCCAGCTGTGCCCTGTCTCAGCTTCTGGCGCACCCTCCTCTGCTCGCTAGCAGGGCAGCGTGAGAGACAGAAAAGGCTTTGACACTGTGTAAGTGCTGCTCCACAACAGCTAAAACATCGGCGTGTCATGAACACTGCTTTGGTCACAAATCCAAAACACAGCACCGTACGGGCTCCTAGGAAGAAAATTAACTCCAGTAAACCACATTAATGTGGTTTAATGCCTTTAACAAGTAACATTAACACCGGGTAGCAGATCTAACTGCTTAAAATGAAAGACTTAGACAAAAAATACGCATCAGTCATTTGTAAACAAAGAACAGAACAAATACAGTAGGTGTTCACTTCTGTTTTGAAGTATGACTCTCCTTAAGCCAGTGTCCATGCCTGCTTCATAGAACAGTAATACTACTACCATGATATTCAGAAGATTTTTCAGATGAAAGCCTTTCCTATATTTGACAACCTGCCAATCACTACGAACAAAACAAGTCATGTCCTGATTCACTTTGTGAGGCTCATGTTTTCAGAGGATTACTAGCATTTAAGAGTCTTTTGACTTTTTAGATTTATTTTCAAAGGCAAGAAAGTTTTCTAAGCTCACTGCTCAATAAGCATGCTGGTCCAAACACTATTTTAAATCAAGAAAAACTGTTAAATAACGCTACTGGCCTCCAGACCAAGACTGTCTTGATGTCTGTTAGCATGGGAATATCAGTACTACAAAATAATATTTCCCTGAATCATGAGTTGTGAAAAGTAACTTGCAACTCTGGAAGTCCATGTAATACATATATTATCACAAGCTGTTGACTGTTTTCTGCAATTTCTTCTAGACTTCTTCCTAGAAACATTATTGAACTGCAAAGACAGGTTGACTATCCAAATTTAAACAGAGCTTTTATAAAGCAGGAGCTACAGAAGTTCAAATTCTGAATCTATCTTAGAAATCACCTTTGAAAAAATTCATGTTCTTACTTTGCAAACTTTCCCTGGAATATTTTCTCACATCTGTGTTTTGCAACAAAGCCAAAGACAGCTTGCCTTTCAGATACTATACTGAGCTTGTAGGAAGCTCAGCTGTGTATGTATGACAATGAAATCACAGTTCCACAGAAACAATCTTTGCAATGCTGCATTTATAGTCACTCTTCACACCAGAACTGCATTGACTTTTTACTCTGTCCTTCAAAACACAGACTTATGTCACCATCTGCCTGAGGAAAGAATGGTGCAATAAGCCCACCTATCACAACAAAACAAGAGACAGCAAAAGCTTGCTTTATAGGAAACAGTAGTGTGCAGGCTGTAAGACCACACAAATCAAAGGAAAACAGCTTTATTATTAGTCTTGACTTTCTCAAATCTTATCTCAAACAATCACAGCTATGCTAAAAGACAGGTTAAGGAACTTTGCACATGGCTGCGTTTTAAACAGATTTTTTAATCCCTAGCTCACTATGTAAATGGTTCATCAAGATAAACAGAAATATTTCCTCCAAGTGATACTGACTGATCTATATAATAGAAGACTAAATAAAGCTAAAGTTCTCAGGAATCCTAAGCTTATTTTCAGGGGAGTGGGGGAAGCAAATCTATCACAAGCACCGTGTTTTCAGTGTGGGTTCACCTTGAAAAATTATCAACTGTTGTTGAGAACGATGAAAGGATGAAATATCAGGACACAGATTCTGAACAGACTCATCCTTTATTACGACTATATTTTTATCTTATTTGGTCAGTTTACAGACCGTTTATCTGCCCCGTACAAACTGTCACTGGGCAACACTACTGGCACAAGGTTTGTTTTCACAGTTTGCAATACCTTCATTGAACTCTAGCATCTTTTAAAATTATTTCAAATTAAAAGACTTTAGCATCTTTTCAAGTTTTTCACTACTTCAAATTAGGCACTTCCAAAAGGACAGCAATTAACTTTCAGATATACTACATATAATTGCTATGTGCAACTACAATCTGTAAATCGTAATATGTCACTACGTAAGTTTTGACTGTTTTTACATACATCAGTGACATCTGAATAAGCTTAAGGATTCCTTTATTAAGGAAAAAAACGTTTTGAAATACTTTACTCAGAGGATTTACAAAGATACCTACTGCACAATATTCCCTTTAACTAGAACAGTTAAACACATACGGAGAGGCTTGCCCAGCTCTAAATAGACAGTGATACTCTTTTAGCAATAGTCTGAACAACAACAGCTCATTTGCTCTGTGACTGAGCAGGGAAAAACTACACCTCTCTCTTTCCACTTAAATAATGAAAATCTCATTATATTTTAAGTTGGGTTTTTTCCATTTTTTCAAGGAGACTGAGGAGAAAACTTCCTTTACACCTCTTGGATGTCTGACTGCTGGAATGTATTTCTAGCTTAGAACACACTCACCATGATTTTGACAAGTAAATTTACCTGGATGGCTATCTGGCCACTTGGCAAATCCACCAACAAGACGATCTTGAGTTGACAGGATGTAATTTCGGTTTTTCTCAAAATTTGTATATTCGAATATATTCAAGAGCTGAAAAGAAATAAATTACACCATTACAGTAACATACTAAATCTTAGTATATTTTTAATAATAAAAGATAGTGCCTATTTATGAGATAAGCAGTCACAGCAGAGATAGCACTAATCTGGTAAACCTCCATATCCTGCATTTTTGCAAGATGAAAGGCCTTTATAGTGATCTGTGCATATTCATGCACTTGTGCCAAATATGTAACTCTTTCAAGCAAAAAGATATGATGCTTAAAGAAATCAAAACAAGTCAGTAACTATCCTGTAGCTGTTCCATACACTACCTTCAATGTTGCTCCCACCCAAAAGGAATAGCAAGTGTCTAC